AAAGTTTGTGACTAGCGAAGTATGAATGAGTGAGAATTCTTTTAAGGAGGTAGCTTTTGCTTTCTTAAAGTACATTTCCTCGTGGTGTTGCGCTAAAATAGGTGAAGAGCTTTTTAAGCCGTCAGCTTAAAGGCTGCGTTTCTGTTGTAAGTAGTACTTAGGTACATGAATGGAAACGACTTTTTCGCCATTATACACTTAATTCGCTAAGTGATTTCTTCGAACAATCGAAATAGTTATTGCTTTTTGAACAATTCGTAATAAAATAGTAGCAATACATGGTTGTATAAAAAGCGCTCTGTGGACGTATTTGGAACTAATTCTGGTATCGTTCGTATTTCGGCTGAGTAGGCTGGAGCTAAGGGCGGCAAATCTTTGGAGCGGCAAATTTGAGGAGCGAATTTTTTTTTGCTACCGCCCGTATTAGCCCAGAGCCCCACTAATTCATGATCCGCCCATGATTGTTAGTATTTACTTAAAGTAGTATTGTTGTTATCATATTATTATTATGGGGTCACGCTGTTGATGTCAAAACTAGTTTCATCCTGCAGAGGAGGGCTATTCGTGCAATCTATAATTTAAAATGTAGGGAATCTCTGAGACATAAATTCAAGAAAATTAATATACTTACCTTTCCCTCGCAATATATTTATGAAAATATTATGTATGTATACAAAAATAGTAATAAGTTTACTAGAATAGAACATAAGCACAATGTTAATACTCGGAACAAACGCAGGCTGCAATTTCCCCGTACTATCTAGACTATCTAAAGTTAGTAATTCTTTTTTGGGAAAAGGGATACTCTTCTTTAATAAAATCCCAGAGGCTCTATAATCTCTGCCTTTTAATAATTTAAGAAATGTATTAAAGAAAAGCTGTGTAAAAAAGCTTAATATAAAGTTAACGATTATCTAGTTGATAAAAGGGCCTGGGACTAGTGCTAGACAGGCTACTTCTAATTAATTTGCGATATTTGTTTTAAAATAAATGTTGTTTGATGATTTGCTATTTTAAAAGAGTACCGAGAGTTTTTTACGCCGGCTTTTTCTGTCGGCCTACACCCTCTGTCTTCTTTGCCGATGAGTAGGGATGCCTACTGATGTATCTTATGTTCCATAATAAACAAATTTATTTTATTTTGTCACCGTGAGTATGGTCCATTATCTAGGTATCGTGTTACATAATCAGCCCATCGATTGCTATTGTCTTTTATATTATTATTAACAATAACAATTACTTATTATAATTAAACTATATATTTCTTCAATATGTTTTTCTATATAATTCAGTCGTTATTGCTTCGACTCGTACGTCGTTAATTACGTATACATATCGGTTATAGAAACGGCATTATATCTAAGCTAACAATATGAACAGGCGCCATGTCTTAGTGCCAAGAAATAATCTCTGTGTAACAGTCGTATACATCATGTACCGAGCAGATGCCAAAACTGTACGAGGTCCCAGAAGCTCAACTTACAACTAAAACAAAACCTACTTAGGGAACAGCTTACCTACGCGATAAATTTGTCACTATATATCCAAGATAAGTTCAATATATTATTATTAAAGCTTGTTTAGTTTATACATCTTAATAAATTAGTAAAATTAAGGGTTTTTTGGGTTCTAGAATATATATTCTTTTCAATAAAATTAAACTATTTAAAAGTATGAATATCTATATTTTCGCAATACAGCGAGGAAATGCTGCCAGCGTTAAAGGTACACTGCCACAGGGACCAAACTTTTTAAATTTGTTTAAATTTTCTTTTTATTAATTTTTAATTATTTTATAATTAATATGTAGGTTAAGAAAATATTAAATGTATCTTAAATGATGGCAAAAATAAACTTATCTGCAAATTACATTTTGTTCCCTTTAAAGTAGATTTAAGAATCTCTTAGACCAAGGCTTAAAATGGCGCTAATTAAAGATTTAAGTTGGCCTGGTAGACAGTACCGGTGACTGGAGCTCACAAGTGCGTTGCCGGCCTTGGAACGCTCTTTTCTTGAAGGACCCTAAGTCGAATTGGTTCTGAAATACTTCAGCGGGCAGCTGGTTCCACGTGGTGGTGGTGCGCGGCAAAAATTGCCTTGAGAAACTTTTAATTGTGGAACGACGGACGTCGAGGTGAACTCAGCTGCTCTGGTTATTATGCTTATGATTCATATATTAAATTAATTCTCGCTTAACTGAGACATCATACTAATAAATCACTCAAAGGCTGTTATCAATAAAAAACAGGTTTTATTTTATATATACAATAAATAATAGTTTTAAATCCCGTAGTAACGATTTTCCTTGTAAAGGTGTGCTCTGGGATTTCTGGGATCAACGTGGATTAGACGCATGTAAATCTCTATTTAGTACGATCTCCGTCCAAAACTAGGCCAATTAAAGCTTATTGCTCTATGTATATCCCTGAAATTTGGGACAACATACACTAGCTACAAACGCGATTTCGTTTACTTCATACATCACCACATAAAATAAAAAAATAATTAAATAATATAATATAAATTGTTTGTTGTTTACACAGAGCACATACAATACAATAATAGACAAAATGAAAGTACATAATATGAAGGTAAATTTTTATATGGAATTTATGTGTAACCAAAAACAATTTTGTGGTAAGTGGATACTGTCGAGCTATCAAATACTAAAATGGTATTGACATTTACGAATACTCAATGAAAGTGATATTTTGTTTGTTTTACACAATTTAAAGCTTTGCTTTTGGGTAGAATTGAATGAAAGACCAATCAACGACAAACTATTGCCATTTTACAACGTGAATTTTTGATAATATTTTAAAACTATTACCTATTTGACATACACCATTCTACGTTCATGAGTTAACCAATATACATCAAACGCCGACACGTGTTCTCAGTTTTGTTTTAAATTAATATCGGTCTGCCTCGAGCCCGCTTATATAATTATAAATTTAGTGTTGGTTTTAATTTTAGGCATTTTTAACGCATTATTTAGGATAATCCATTTAACGCGGGTATAACTGCCATTTAAAATATGTTTTAAAGTAATATCAAAAACATAAGCTTACGAAATTCTTCATACATTTTTCTTCGACAAATGTTACCCTTTTAAAGAAAAAACTCCACGGTCACGGTGACCACGCACGCTGTAAAGCACGCGAAACGTCGGATAAATTTAAAAATTATGTTAAATAATTGTAAATTTATATCATAATACATAACTTTAATCCGGTTAAAAAGTTTTTTCTTTAAATGTGTAAAGGTTATGTTAATCAAAGACAATACTAAATGTTACCCTATAAAAATATAATTGCTTTACCCAATATGAAAGTAAGAAACATCGCTTATTTAGCAATAATAGCAGGAACCAACAAAGTAATTATCTCCCTAAATCCCGAGCCAATTCCACTGTTTAAGAAAGATAAACGAGAAGGAAAGAAAACTATTTTCACAGAACTACTAACTTACTTGGATTACAATGGCTTAGTAATTACCACTGGTGAATCTCCTAACTAGCTTCTAAGTAATCAATACAAAATGAAAACAAAAACCATTTATAGGCAACAAGATTTTAGACGATTATAGATTATTTCTTAATAACTTTAGAATTTATACAAATTCTTATATATATATATATCATACGTCTTTAAAAAAACAAATTAAATATTAACAATTTCAAGAACCCGCCAAAACGCTTGATTATCAAGATGGCGGCGTACCAGTCCAAATTTTAACAATGGGTTATTTGACAGTATTAACATTAAAGTGTTTTTTTTTTAGGCTCTGGCACGGTTTGTGCATTAGCCAGCGTCAAGTATAAGATTTTTTTTATAATTCATGCTTGCCTTAGAACTTCGACCATGTCCTCCATGTACGGTTTAGGCACTCGCCCGGTACCGCACCACCGAGGCCGAGAACAATTTTAAATTAAATAAAAACTTGCCCTCGAACCGGGAATCAAACCCGGTACCTCTCACCTAGCTGCCACTTAATAAGACCGCTAGGCTATGAGGCCCCTCATTAAAGTGTTATTGAGAGTAATCTGTGTAAAACAATCTGTTAAAGCGTTATGTAAATAACTTTATTTAATAATATATTGATTTCTATACGTTATCACGTGACACAAAACAATCACAGATTAGTCGAATCAATAATTATGTAGCATTGTAAATAATAGTCCTGTCTAATCCTAGTATTGTCCTAGAATTGTATTTTTGAAGTGAAACTTCTTTAGGTGCATGAGGTTTAAATTTTTACGAGATCGTCACGAAGATGTGCAGCGTTTTTGTCAAAGACAAGGGACAGAGCGATTGAGACCGATGGAGAGAGAGTGAGAAGGGCGAATTACCTTATAGAAATTATATTTTGAAAATTAATATTTCGTAAAGAGAATTTATGAATTATTAGTATTTTATATTTTATCCAAAATAATTTATTGAAATCTCAAATGATTTTTTTATCGAAGAAATATATTTATAATTTGTATTAATTTTCGACACTAAATATTTTAATGTCAATTAAATTCTGACATATCTTCCTTTTTCCCTCCCTCTAAGTCTCGGATATCTAAATTTTTAGATTTGTATAACTATGAACAATAGTTAAAAATTAGTTTGCCAAAGAAGTTTCACTTCTGACATGATGTTTTACGCACGCACTTTTTTTATATAATGGAGTAATAGTTCGCGCTTAATCTCTTAGCGTCAAGCTTAGGGTTAGTCCGTAGTATACCACACCGATCTACTTACCTTTAAAAATTTCAAAGGACCGCAGATTTTAAAATCGCTAAAATAACCACTAGACTAACCCTGCTCTTAAATAAACATTAGAAGCTTTTTATTCCTTTCAACCTTAGAGTATTTAGAATTACTATTTAAGTTTTAATGACCACAAAATATTACCGTACACTGAACGGGAGTGTTATTACGAACCCGATCGTACGATTCCTAATCGCAGCTCCCGTACTAGATGACGACTTGTATGGAATTTCAGCGTTGTTATCTGTCGTAGCATAGATGTCGCGACCGAGGGATCACGGGGAACAAAAACTCATCATTGAGGTTGGGAACGCTGTTGGTATAGCTTTTGGACATTCCAAAGTAAGCCCTCCTATGCTGCAGGGAAAATGCCTCACTGTTACCCGGCTCCGTGTAAAGCCAGACGGTGCTATGGGGTTTTAGTGGTTCCAGCACAGTGATGAATTCTGACATAACTCTCCACACCCGCAGCTGCAAAGTGAATGTCATAACGGTTTTGCCTCTATGATAGGAAAAAAGTTATGGTCTGTTAAAATTATGACCATTATGATGCTAAAAACAGATTTCAATTTGTCAAACGGTAGTTTTGCTGTATAACTGCTTGATATACAGCAAAGTCTGTGACTAGCAATAGACATTAATGGGTATTACGTATAGGAATATCAATGATTTTCATGAAAAATACCATGCTATTATGTGGAGGAAGTCAAGGCCTCACTCTGAATAAACCATCCGCGCGACGTTCTATTGCGCCAGGTAGTCCTTCTCCCTACGAAGTGGCGAAGGGGGCGTTGGCTGGCCATCCCTCATATTCGTGAACGGGTGCTACTGGTGACCAACCAGGACTTGGATCGGCCATTTATATATTTTTCTGCCTTGGTCCACCTTGACACGCGTTTGCGTGTTCTTCCCAAAGTAATGTGCAGGATTCTACTTCACCACACCTTGCTGATAGAGGAACGTTTAGTTTTCGTATTTAATTACAATATTGTTATTATTATTATTTATTGTTGATCCGTGACCAATAGTGATAATTACAAAGTAGAAAATTATTTGTTTTTTTTTGAAGTTATACTTCTTTAGGCGCGTTATGAAAAATTGATGAGAGTGAAATTTTACGATGCGCGCGCACCGTGACACAAAATTAACAGAATGAAGTTGCCCACGGAAGATGCTACGGCATTGGACATAATTTAAAAACAACATTCGAATAATAATAGAATTTATGTTACACTTAATGTAAGAGAATAATAATAAATATTTATTTATTGAATTTTTGTAATGTAACTGAACTTTATTGACTATAATGACTCCTTTTCAAATCTTTGATTATTTAATTGTAATTAATTATTTGCATGCAATCTGAAACTATTTTTAATAATGCCAAAGAAGTATAACTCTTACGCGCGTACATAAGTACACGCACTCTGTTTTTAATTGTATTTTTTAATCTAGTTTGTTTTTTACTTTTAATGTTTAAATTATTTCCTCTTTATCATTGTAATGTTTCCCTCTAAATGTTGAACACACTTGTTATTGATGCACATGCATGTATCTTGTTTTCTATGTCATGTGTTATTTGTAAATTTTTGTATGTTTTTCGTTAGTGTGCCTTTTAAGATACATATTTTGATGAGCAGCATGATATAATTAAGAGTGACGCAGAGCATATTGCCAGTTCTTCTCGTCTGTTCTACGCTCTTGATTTGAGAACTGGCAGTAAACTTCATAAGTATTCATAAAGTTACCTATTTCAATTAATGCCGCGACTGATTATGCCACGCAGCATCGCTATGTGGAACCAGCTGTGTAACTGAAGTATTTCTGAACCTATTCGACTTAGGGTCCTTCAAAAAAGAGTATTGATTTCCAAAAGTCCGGCAACGCACTCGCGAGCCCTTTGATATTAAGTGTCCATAGGTGGTGGTATCACTTAACTTGAGATGAGCTTCCTGTCCTGTAAAAAATTTAATAAATAAATTATATTGGTATTTACCATAACAATTCTGAATTGTACGATTCGTGTGACTGACAGCGTACGATTGCTGTCATTTCTAACAGTAATAGAGCTACCCTAATGAACGAAGAGGCTTATAACTTTATTCCGTCTCGCAATTACGTTGCCGGTACTTTTTTGCGGTACGACCTGTGCCATTCAACATTTCAACAACTGCCAACATTCGTCATTAGTTAACATTATTCACTCGAATACCTAGTTTTTCACCGTCTGCCTTTTAATGAAATGCTTTTGAGGCAAAGCACCTACTTAAGTGCCATTGTTCTATTAAACGCGTTAAGCGTTCGAATTGATATGTTCCCTGTAATTAGATTTAGTGAATCATTTTTATTATTCACCAAAAAATTATAAGTTCTAAACTACAAAATACGAAAAATCGTAAAACGTTTCGGATTCCTTTGAGAGTACCCTATCTCTGGACTACCGCTTGACTCTTTCTTCTTCTTTGGGGCACCCTGTATATACATACATATATATTAAGTACTAAGTAGTATATAATTATAAAATTCATTTTTTCAAATAGCAAATTAACGTAAGATAACCGATTTTTTTTCTTTTCAATTTTTTTTTTAATTTTCCAAAATAGATACCCTTACAGATTACTCCAATACGGTTACTATTTACATCACATACAAAACAATACATACTCATAGAAAAAAAAACAACACAATATTAAACAGTACTAGATTAAAATATTTACAAAATGACTATTTCTTATAGTAAAAACTATTTTTGACAGTAAAGGAACTTACATGAATCAGACCTTTTGTCAGTACTCTCAACGGACAATTAAAAGTGTTAATCTATGCAGTTCATTAATTATTTTCATGCATTGTGTCATGTGTACTAAACAAATTGTTCGTGAATATAAAATTCTAATTTCAAATACTTGTAAAAAAGATTGTCTATTCCCCTCTATTGTCTCTGTACTCCTTGAGAAAATATTGTTAGAATGTACGTATGAATAATAAAACCGGGATTGCCATTTATCCAAATTTGCTAGAAAGGGTGCGTGTTAAAAATGAACATGTCAGTTTCGTGTCTAACAGTCGCCTCAAGACATGACAATATGTAAAAAGGTTTGTTGTGAAGCGAGATCTTTTAATCTAAGTAAGAGGTTTATTTGTATGTGAATTGTAAACAAATGTTGCCAAATTACTATGTAATAAAGACATACATATAAGAACTTAGAGGCTATATTTTAAAAATAAACGAGCCAGCTACAAAATGTAAACGTTTAATACATGGCTGTCGTTGTATTTTAGAAGTTTTTATAAGTAATAGACGGTTACAGATTTATGTTAAGTTAATTGTTTAGGTACTGAAAACAAAGTGATGTTATTAAAAGCCCTTGTAATCGTCATTTATCATTTACGTATTTATATAATTTAAGTATTTAACACGCTTCAGCCCGCAGCTACACCATAGATTTTGGGAATCAAGCAAGATTTTGCGGCCAGTAATAACTGTCAAGAAAATATTACCATAAAATTAACAATAAATCTTCTTCATCTTCCTTAGGCATTACACCTTATATTGGTTATCAGCGTACAAAAATCACTAGTTAATGAGTATCTCATTCAGGCACAGACGCAGCCGGGAACTACAGATCTATACAGCCTATAATTGCCCTGTGAGTCGATTTTAAACTAAATTTAATTTAACATTACTCAATTAAGTTTAATTCTACCATGGGATTCTATTTCATCTACGGTGTGTATCATTAAGTTATAATTTTCAAAAAATACCAAGTTCTATTGGAGTGATTAATTGTCTTTGGAGTTAGTAATTGACATCAAAATCTGTTAAATGTTATGCATAAAATTTTTGACAAACGGAGATTTCGATTTCGCGCCTAAACTTGTCTCTGCTATTTGAATCTTAGCGTCCCTTATTATTGACATAATCCCGGCAAAGTTTCTCATTTGTCGTGTTTTTACCTCGTATGGCGTATTGGCGCCTTTTTCCTGTGGTTCGAGTCACGTAATACAATCTTCGTTGGGGCCCTTCGAGCGTGTTAAATTATTTACATTGCATGGAAGAATAGGGTGAAGTTACGTGCCCTGTGTGGTTTTCTTATTAAATTGAAATTAGATAAATTGAAATGCTTCAGGACATATTTCTTTTTGTTTTAATGTAGGCAGAAGAAATAATTGAAATAGAAGTGTTGGTTGCATATAAAGAAAGTACAGATTATAATTAAATTTGCAATATGTAGTACCATGTAAAATAATAAAAAAGTTTCTTGGGATTCTACGGATGCAAATAAATTATGTAAGTTTTATACAATTTACATATCTTGAATAAAATAGAAAACATATTCATTTCAAAATATACAATAAAGTACTACCATTCATTTCGTAATATCCCTAGATTGACGATTAAAACATCTTTCATACAGAATAAATATTAAATCAGGATGGGTTATAATTAAAAAAAATGCAAAACAAGCAATTTTCGTTTTAAATTCTTATCTCATTCGAGTATTGGCACAGGAAATTCATACGACAAATAAAATTCCGTAAACTTGATTTCCAAAGGTCCTAAGGCTTTTATTGTTCGGACGAAGACAAATCAAATAATAAAGGTATATCGAATTACCAGAAATTGAAATGTGTTAATATTGAATTCTTTTCAGTTCGAGTATTTCTACATACTCTGTTTTGCCAATACCCAAAATAATCTCTTTCTGTAAAATAACATGTTTTTGGCGAAAAATAAATTATATATAGTATAAGTAGACTCCTGGTGTACAACTTTGTATCAGGAACCTGTGTCCAATTTCCAGTGATATAAAATTAGCATAAAATTTTCTCTCTTCCACTCCATCGGCCGAGGCGTCTTAGTATATGTGAACTGTTTTGTCAACTGTTTATAAAGTGAAGTGAAAAGTTAATGTGAATTCTATTGTTTATTAATTAGGAATTTTTATTATAAGAATTATTATAAAAAATTGATAAACGATATAATATCATAATATATTTGTTGTTTGATTATAAAAATTAACTTAACTTAAAATTAACGAGTACCTATGTTTATTTATCGAAAAAATTGTAATTTTCAATTAACTCCTTTGTATTATATAAAATAATGATAATAAGAAATATAATTCAATTCAGTTAGTAAAAGTATGCAATGTTTTCTTATGACGTTATCACGTGAAAATATTATCGTCTGTAAACCATCCCCATTTGGCGACGAAAAAAGTGCTCTTCCATCAAGATAACGCACCGGCTCATACCTCCGCCGTCGCCAAATTGGTAGAATATGCCAATATGCTACGAACTGCTGCCCCTTCCACCGTATTCTCCGGTTTTGGACCCGTGCGACTTCTTTTTAATTCCAAATTTGAAAAAGTCACCAGCCGGGCAGAAATTTGAGTGGAATGAGGCGGTTATCACCGCCACGGAGGCCTACTTTGCAGATCTCCAAAAGACGTATTTTTCAGATGTGTTAAAGAAGTTGGAACACCGCTGCGTCGAGTGTGTCGAACTCAAAGGATGTTGAAAAATAAATCGCCACTTTTCCACTGAAAAAAATAGTTTGTTGTATGCTAAGTACTTATCGGACCACCCGTATGTGTTTGTCGTAATTTTGTTTTATTATATTTTTGAGTGGATTTCTTCAATCTCTATTTTATTAAACGTATTCTCAAGCAATTGTGCATGTGTAGTTTTACTTCTGCATTTTCTAATATCATGCAAATTTACAATGTTATACACAATAAATATACAGAATTGCAACGCAATTGTCGAAATGCAGGTTTTGTAATATTTTTCATTTATCGCTGACTGGGAATTTATAACGAAAGACGCATAACGTTCAGTTCGATTGATTTCGAACCTGATGTAATATAACGTATCATTTCACCGCGTATGCGACTGTGGACCAATCACAATCAATTTTATTTAAATTCTCAAGTCTCGACTCCCCCGGCTTGAGACAAAATTACTTTCCGACATGCGTGACCCACTAACGTCAAACGAATTTGTATGAAAATAGTTACGTGACAAACCGTGATCTAATGTCATTCCCATACTATACATACAGGCCTCCGCTGACCACAGGCTATGGACCTATTAAGAGCCGGTCCACACGGCGGGTTGCGTCAGCGTTGCGTCGAAGCAGCGCTGCCGTTGCGTCTAACAAAAAAAACTGGCCATCTCTATTTCTTAATGAAATGAAGGGACAGATCCAATACCGTCTTGTGATTTTGCGTCGATTTCAGCGGCGATAGTAGTAATAGGAGCAATGCTAGACGTCTTTTCCGATCCATGCTTTCCTATAGACTGCCTGCGATGTTTTTACAAAATGCTTGCCGCAACTGTGCGTCACCGCTGCGTCGACGGAACGTAAAGACTACGTCGTAGTAACGCTGCGATGGCGCAGCGCCTGTGTGGCCGGCTATGCGTCAAAATATTTGCGTTGCGACGACGTAACGCAACGCAACGCGCCGTGTGGACGGGCTCTTAGACAGCTTCCATAATAGTGTATCATGGCATGTTAAAGCCTTCATTTATGAAATGATTATAATTAGCTGACCTGAGGTATTTTTTAACCACCTAAAAGTCAATGAATGTCGTGTTTACAGAATTAAACATTCTTTTATTTAAGTAATACAATACAAAAAAATATTATATTCATGTTTTTTAATGTAACACAAAAAGAAATTAGACAACCCTTTTTTGTTAAAATCTAAATTACGCCCGAATACTGTGGTTATCTTGTCGATTCGAAGACTATTATACGTTCTTTGCTTTGAGGCGATAATTAACCGTGTCAACAAAATGAACATAATTTATATAAATTTGACAGTCACGAAACCCATAAACATTTCGTTTTGGATTTTCTATTAGTAAACTTTGAAAAGTTTTTCTCGTGTTACTAGTGTTCGAAAAATCCCGACTCTGTTTTATATATTAAGGTGATAAAATAAAAGCCAAGAATTTTGTGAAGAATTTATTTAGTACATAATAAGGCGAACTAAAAATAATGTTAAAGAAATAAACTTCTATTTGTGAGCTTCACGAAATGAAACTTAAACCTTATATTAATAATATTAATGTTTAAATGAAAACACTTCTGCTGTTATACAAAAACGCTGAAAAATCTTATATACGTTCGAAAAATGCGAATCAGTGCTTACAAAATGCATATAATTTTAGTAAAGTACTGTAGTCACACATTTATCAAAATTTTACTTTAAAGCAAATTGGTATGGAAAAATCAGCTGTTTCCGTTTCCATTTACTTTCAAGAGATGGCGCTGATTTTAATATTATATAAAACGTGTTACGAAATTTGCCGGGTAAAAAACCAAAGATGGCGCGCTTTGTTTATGATTCGCTTCCAGTCATAGACAACCTCATTGACAGATCTTCTATTGACTTTTCTACTATTCCTCGTAAATTTATGATCATTTTCGTGTATTTTAATAATCACTTAAATGCAAGTATACAGTGCAGGCAGAATCCAAAATTATTTTGTATATTAGAGTCAATATGACTTTACAAGCATTATAAGTCTAAGTGTAGCTGTCCCAGTACATAATACTAAAACACTGAATTTTGACGAATAAAAACGAACATTTTTAATTAAAAATTATTAGCACAGCTAAAACCTTATTGACATTAACATTAATTATAATAATATAGTAAACATGTCAACTGCTCTAGTAAAAGAAATTGTTAATCCTTGACCAATTCAACGTATAAATGCTAAAATTACTGGGACGAGCTGAAGTAAAAACGATAAGATTTAGCATGGACGGCGGTCCGGTCCACGGCGGCGCGGGGCAGCCTTCAGAATGTTGTCAACACGAAGAATCATCTCAGCTGCTTCGGCGGCCGAGAGCAGCACTTGGCGTTTGACTACATACGATTCTGTTATACCTAAAGTCTTCATATCACCAACTATACCTTTATCCATATCTGTGGAAGAAAAGTGATTTACAGCTATCACAATAAAATGAGATTTTTAATTTTTATTTAAAAACTAACTGACCCGGCAAACATTTGTGTTGCCATGTATATTATTTCTATGAAACATTTCAATAAAAATAACTATCTACAATAATAAAAAATAGGGGTTGATCGTAGAGGGGTGAAAATAAAGGGTTGTATGTATTTTTTGTATGATGTATCGTAAAAAATTTTTTTTTTTTTTGAAAAAATTTTTTTTTTGGGTGGACACCCCTTATGACTTATGCGTTTTAAAGATAGATAGTAGCCATTTCTCAGACTTATTGAATATGCATAGAACCTTTCATAAGAATCGGTCGAGCCGTTTCTGAGGAGTATGGGAACGAACATTGTACAGGAGAATTTTATATAGAGATTATGTTTGTATGAATCACGAAATTTTCAAACAATTGTAAATCATTAATTCTAATGACTTAAAATGTGTCCCAGATTTATAAAAACTGTAAAACTCAAAATATCTTTATTCGTTTAGGTAAACGAACCGTCAGAACATTATTAACAATTCTAAATTTAAAATATATGTCATCAAACAAATTATTCAACATACCTAATCCCATAGTTTTCTCCCCCTGTGCATGTTTCGCTCTGAGCCGTGCAATCAGCTCAGCACTGTCATAACCGGCATTGTCAGCCACAGCTTGCGGCAGACGCCGCAAAGCGATCGCAAACGCTTCAGCTGCGGCAGCCTCCTTTCCAGCGATACGGGTCGCGGCACGGGACACAGCTTCGGCCATCAACATTTCGCTTGCACCTGAAAATCGTCGCCAGTTACATATTATCTCAGACATCGTGAACCAGAATATCTATATAGTAAGCTTAAATAGGCAGGCGACACAAATTAAGACACACGAGGCATTAATAAACTGCGTATTTATTTCGTAATCCTACAGATAAAGGAGCGTTCAGTATTACGAAACGAATTTGGGGCGGGTCCTTTTGTAAAACGTTACGATGCGGGGCGGGGATTTAATATTATTATATTTTCGACTTGCAGTACTTTACACCACATAATGGTAACTTTAAGGTATAAAGAGTCACTAGGTGGTCACGAAACGTTTTACTATACTTGGGTACAGAAAAACGTTGCGGCGTGTTACATGGGGGTCCATAATCTCCAAAAATTGCGTAACACGATAATAATAGACAACAAATATACAATATTTTAGATTTCCATGTGCGCAATTAATTTGAAAATATCGTAAGAAAACATGCCATAAATAAAAATAAAAAAAACTACAATTGGTTTTTTTTCAATATTATTGATGAATCTTACCTCCTCCGTATATAACTTTAGGCTCCTTAACAGTAGCTGCAAGTACACACAAAGCATCGTGAAGGGACCGTTCAGCTTCGTCAATGACCTGTTGAGTGGCTCCACGGATGACGATAGTACAAGCCGATCCCAGTTCGACTCCCGAGAAACGAATCAGGCATTCATCACCGATTAGAACCTGGAAATATTTAAGTAATCCTTAGATTCAAACTAAGGGCTAAGCCAATTCACGGCCGTGCATAGATAATTTAATTCAAATACATTGTTGTCAAATGTCAGTCACTTCTACTGTTTTTGGTCAGTTGTCTTCTACTGTTTTGGTACAGGATCGGCGAGTCCTATTACCAGCGTTGTTTTAGGCCTATTTTATTGTTGGTAGAGCAATTTACAGACTCCGGGTACTAGGGAACCTCTTAAAATAGAGTTATAGTTAGGGGTCTGTCCGAGAGGTGCAATGGACCCCACTAACATTTGAGATACATAAAAAAATATTGTCATTAAATGCGAAAAGTATTTTCTGCACATATTAACATACCTGTTCAATGACTTTGCAGTGTCCCAACTTGACTTTTTCAGGAGAATCGAAGGTGGAGACAATTTCACCACCGGTGACAAGTGCCAATCTTTCAATTCCATCGAAATCAGCATGCTCAATGGCCATGACACCTGCATCAGCGAACAACTGCTCTGGGTAATTGTAGATTAACTGCCTGAAAATAACATAAAAAATGTAAACATTTCATGATTATCAACTAAATAAGTATTGTTAAACAACACAAAACATAAAACATAAGTCAATTAAGTAATTTATTACAATAAAAAAACTGAAATAAAACATTAAACAAATTACAACTTCAAAATATTTTTAAAGAAAAAAGAAATTGTTGCTACTGCTAAATAAATTCAAAGTCCTCCAGTTTCCAAAATATTTTCACAAAATGTTTTCAGTGGAAACTGTCAACATCTTCAAAATTTGTATTGTAATTAGATAGACCTGAAAGATTGGCGAACTATACAGATTAGTTTTAGAGAAGAATAATAATAAAAGACAATACTAGAATAATAAAAGAAAAATGACAAACCTGTTAATAAAGACATTGCACTTGTGAGCCAGAATCTTGTTGACTTTGTCCTTCATTTTCTCCTTCTCAGCGACTTCCAGTTCAGCGATTTTCGCCATAGAATCCACTTTGATCGTTGAACCGAAAACTTTGATTTTATCGGTGTCCATAGGTGTGTTTGCAATTAATATATTTGCATTCTCAATGCGTTTTGGCTGATGTACTCCAACCTAAAATGTATAAGTAATGTTGTACACTGGATTTTACTATGTGCACGAAAGACATGGTGAGAAAACCGGCATTTCTTAGCCCCAAGACTCAACGTGCCAGACACATGCATGTGGCATGGAACAATGATTTTTCTATAGGCAATACTTTAAATAGTTTTCCGTGATCATTGTGCACATAGAAATAATTGGTGCACAGCCATAGTTCAATATTGAAATTGACACGGTTTGATGACAGTGTCTATATCACTATTCACTTTTCTGAATTTACGTCTATACCTTGCAATACAAATATTTTATAGCTATTGGATAATGGTGGCGAGGATGAGAAACTAGAGGAAGAATTTGGAGGATGCCATCACTCCATTGAAGGTTGTTTACTAATGTTAAACATAACGATAAGGACTTAATGTAATGCTGATTATGTTGTACTTGCTATTTAAATTTTATTTATTATACGGAATTATGAATTATACAAGACAGACTGAGATTGTATACAAGTGTGCACTTACAAAATTATTTTTTAATACCCATCAAGCAAAATTGTTTAATAAAGTTAGTATGTCTCACAAACCTTCTTATTCAATAGAAATCCCTCATCCAGGAAGGATTCTTCGAGAACACCCCCAGAGATCTTGATAATTTGAATTGCTTTCAAGTTGCCAGAACCTTTAAGCCTTAATACTGCATCAACTGCTAATTTTGTGAAATGCCTGGAATAAATAGAATAACACAAGAATAATAATGTCATGTCATGTCTATGATAATGTGTTGTTTTTACTTTTTACTACTAACATACAATAATCTAGATTGATTTCTTTTACACAATTAATGTTTCAGCTTACTACAGAAGTGGTACCACCTTATAAAAAAACTATCAATCATTAGCATATGCAAAGACATGTCAGTCCCAAATCCTAGTTTTTTTATTTGAAAGAATCAAGTTAACTTTGTTGCTTTGAAGCTAAACACATCTAAAACATTATTATTTTTTATTTATTATACATTAATTAAAGTAAAAAAGAACACAGAAATTTATCTGCAAATATGTATACCATAAAGTTCGGCAGCAGACAAATTTAAGCAAGTTTTAAGACACTAATATTATTATGATATTCACTAGTATGGCTTGTCTTTGTCTTCTGAACTAAGTTAAGGTTTAAAAATGAATATTAAGGTTAATTGTCTGATTACTTACTCTTTGTGATTTGAAAGGATCTTGGAACTCAGTGTAGTACGGGCAATATTCTCCAAGTCAGCTCGTAATGCTGCATCATTTAAGTTCTTTGCATGATCAAAGCTAGCATCTGAAAGGGCTAGTTTGGCAGCTTCAACAGCTATGCGCCAACCTGCTATTATTGTTTGCGGATGCAATTTCTGTTCAACAAGCTTTTCTGCTTCTCGAAGAAGTTCAGCAGCTGCAATAATTTAATAAATTATTATGATATTCAAAATTAGCTATCGTGAGTGAATTAGCTTTATACTGTACCAAGCACAGTAACTGATGTTGTTCCATCTCCAACTTCATCATCTTGTACTTTTGACATATCAACCAGAATTTTTGCTGCAGGGTTGTCTACACCCACTGATTTAAGAATAGTAGCACCATCATTTGTAACCTCTATCTGCAAAAATCAAATGTATAAGCAACTCGTAAGTCACAGTTACTAAAATCCCTGTTTATGTTCCATACCTGGCCAGCGTTTCTACCATAAGAAACTAAGATTTTGTCCATTCCTTTGGGGCCAAGAGTGCTTTTGACTAAATCACCAATAGCAATGGCACCAATAAAGCTGGACATCCGAGCTACCTCACCCTTTTCTTCTTCTGCTTCATTCTTCAATATTCTGATGGGATTAAGTGAAACCTGCAAGTATTCATTTAAAAATTTAATAATTTGTGAACATGTGCAATCGAATACAATGGCCTACAGAAACAACATTTTACAGCTAGTTGAAGAAAAAAGTACAAAATCTTTACAATTTTTTAATAAAAACATAGAATATTCTTAGTACATACCATATTGAAGTATTTCTTTTTCAATTTATTTATTAAATATCCTTTGAATTAAAACTGAAAAGTAACCAAAAATTGTCACGAGAGAAACACCGCAAATCTTAACCACAGACTCTTAATCATACGGTACAGTACAGATAAACTTAAAAGAATGGGGTACCTATTGTTATTTAACTGTATAATCTGTAGGATAGACTTTAGTCTATGCTGTGCAATGGGCATTGTGATTTGTGACTAAATAATTTTAAGTCTGTGCTCGTAGTCTGAGTAATTTTTTACGTCATCCTAATTTTCTTGAATATTGAGCAAAAGTAATTGTTGTTGCCGCTGCTTTTATACAATTGCCATCCAGCCATATCCGCGATTTAATAAGCGACGACAGCTAAATCTGAAATATCACATTATTTCAATACATCCGTACGTAGTTTGTTAACCATGGAAAACCAAGGCACCTCCGCACCTAGAGTAAGCGATAAACGATTAGCTCAGACACAAGCTCAAGTAGATGAGGTCGTTGGTATTATGCGTGTAAATGTCGAGAAAGTGTTGGAACGCGACCAAAAGCTGTCAGAACTGGACAATCGTGCCGATGCTCTACAACATGGAGCGGCGCAATTCGAACAACAGGCTGGTAAGCTTAAGAGGAAGTACTGGTGGCAAAATCTTAAAATGATGTTGATAATTGGTGCGGTGGGAGCTGTCCTCCTCATTATTATTATTGTGTGGGCCACATCTGGCTCAAGCTCAACCGCAGCACCTCCACCAGTCACTCCAGCTCCAGAGACACCATCAGGACGATAATTTTTCAGATTCCTAACGTTTTACTAAAGGGGCTCTTCCATAGGTTGATGTAAATAGTGGCATTCACTAAGAGCCAGCCCATACTCAATTTGTAACACCTTTTCTAATATATTTACCACCTTCAGCTAGTGTGAGACATAATTCTAATTACTATGAATTATCCAATTATGAGATAGTGTTATTGTCACAGATAAAAAATAAAAAAGGGGTTAGTGTATCTTTAGATTGCTATCAATAACAATGTTCAGCAAATAATAAAAGTGTATCGCTATTATTATGGTAATTCAGGAGCCACTTTAGTTGATTAAAACCACTTTATACATGTTGACTGATTGAAATGAAACTATTTTGTAAACAATTTACCCTTCATAAAAATAACTGTTGCACATTTGCTATAAATTTTAAAATGTTTTGATATGTCGTTTAAATTATATGTCTATAGACAGCCAGTGTTGAAATTGTTGATGTTGCTTTAAATTGATATAGTATGTATAAGAATGTATATTAAGTGGTATTATAGAACTAAAAGAAAAAATGGTATTTACACTGGAGGGTTATAATGTTCTTTTAAGAGTAGTGTCTGGACTAAACACAGGCAAGCAACTTGTTTCTATTGTTTCAAATGTACATTATAACCTTTTAGTAGATCACATATGTTTTGATGTTACTTATCTTTGATGACACAATTATATGCACAAAAATATTTTTATATCAAAGCACAAATACAGTCCATTATTTATAAGAATGTTTTAAGTAAATATGAGATGCATAGATTATATTCTTTGGTGCAAACAGGTTTTATATATTTTATTAAAAAACTCCTATTGTATTTGCTAGTTTGTAAAAAATTAAGAGAAATATTTAAACTAAAACATACTGACTGAGTCAATTAATTTTAAATTGTACTAAGTACTGTTAATTATATAAAAAAAACATTTTCTAAAGTTTTCTATGCATTTTTATAAGAAACACATAAGGGGACCAATAGATTACTATAGAAAATTAGACCACAATTTAAACTTCTGCCTAAATATTGTTATTCTAATCCAATCTTTGTAAACTTATACTGTAAAAGGCAAAATAAATGTATTATTCTAAGATGGTATTTTACTCTTGAGATAAGCTATGCACTTCACAATTGATAAGCAATGATTAATGTTAAAACAATGAAAATGTATATTGCTCAACCTTCTCTTGTGGTTTTTGATATTTTTTTAATTTAAGCTGATTTGTGTACAGGCTTAGAGAAAACGGCCTAGTAGAGAGAGAGCCCAATTTTTTCACATTGAAAATCTAACCTCAAATTTTGTATAGAGAAAAAAAGATGTCAAATGCATTTATTTTTTCATGTGAACATCAGTTGATTGAAAGACACTTAGCATTTTTGTCTAAATAAGTTTCCCATCTTATTAGGTAAAAATTAACATGTGGGATGTTTTTTATAGGTAGATACATCCCTAACAATACCAGTTGCATTTACCTACGTAATACGTATTTATTACAACTAATATTTTGTTTACCTTCACCATCAAAGTTAAATAACAAAATATTTCCATTATTATATCGTGAGATTTGTAACTTAAGAATCTCCGATTACGGAAGAGGTCTGATGTTTCGGTCTATTTCATAGAAAGGCCATTGTCCGCCACCACTGACCTTCAATGACAAGCTAGTTTTCCTAAACTTACTTTGAGTCTTTACAGAGGCACTGCAACCCTGAGTTATGCCTTAAGTTTTGTTCAGTTTTTTTTCTTAATAGGATAGTGGGTGATCAGCCTAACACACGTGACACGCCGTCGCTATTCAGGCATGCCGGTTTCTTCACAGTGTTTTGCTTTGCCGTAAGAGCGATTCCTAAAGCACATATGGAAATAATTCTATAGCCGTGATTTGAGTTTACAATCTCAGTGTTAAGAGTCAAAGATCGTCCGCGTCTTCTTATTTCGAGTAGGTACGGAAATTTTTTAAATATTCCGGCAATTTAATGATCGGAGATGGTTTTCTGGAACAAATAAAATTATTGTACTAAGGTAACCCTCTCGATTGTTACATTAATAAAAATACATGCAAAACATGTAATGTATATTATATAAAAGCACTATTTAGAAGTTACGGGACTGCTTTCCTCGTTTTACGTGCTCAAAATTTTGTAAGTACAGGTAATATTCCGAATAAAATAATAATCTATTGTACTTATGCACAATATTTTCTATTGTGCATAAGTACAACTATGCAAGCGATTAGTACCTATTTTACTTTCATGTGTTTTATTGCTAGTTACTACAGTGCGTGTTAGTACGAGGAAGTAACTTGCATAACTCGTATGTATAATGTATATTTCATACACAATCGAATTTATAGCTTTCAATTATTAGCTAAAATTCTATCCTTAAAGTTCAATCAGGACGGCGTATATCTTTAAATAACATATATAATTATGCCCACGAAACATGTTCTTCTATCTGTAGCGTTATATATATACATATATATTTAGCAAAGGTGCAAAAGCGACAGAAGAGCCTGGAATCTGGATTAATAAAAGCTATGACGCGGCGAGCGAGTAGATATTATATAGTATATACGTCGATTTGTTTCTTGTGACAGTAACTTCTTGGTAAATATATTGACACTTGACAATACTTGGCTCTGAAATGCAAAACAGTTGACGCAATTTAAATTCGAGATAACCTTATTTTTAACTTTTCAGCAATATTTCAATTAGCAAGACTGTTTAATAATAACTTTTATCCTCGAGAATTGTAATGTCTTGAATTGATTACACAGTTTCTACTATTTCTTAGTGGAGCTATTTATCCTAATTATGTCTTGTGACGACATTGTAATAAAATAAGAATTTTCGCATTTATTTAAATAAGGCGTAGGAAGTATACGCTGTGAGGACAGCACGCCTTTTATGGACTGTTACCGATAAGTATTGCGTCTATAAAACCCGCTCGTATTAATTGGCGGTGTCATTCACCTGTACTCATTGTTATTAGAACCTCGTTTGGCCAATACATTTTTAATCTATAACCAGTTCATGACTCATTACATTAAGCTGAACTTCCGGCATTATGTGTAGAACTTTTTAAGCTTTAACGTGACAGTATTTTTAGACATTAATCTGACTAGAAGATGGATTTTTTATATGTAACACAATTGACGTGAAGTATATTGTTAATAAAAATCGGAGAAATTAAATATTATCTTAATCCCGACCCTCACTGCACTTTACTATTTAAAAAGCCATGTGTGCCATCAGTTCGTATACGAAGACCCTACTGGGTTAACTGACAAGTGACAACTAAACTGTGTTTTTATTGTTGTTAAAGTTTAAACGACTTATTAAAATAATATTTTGTTTGTTATTCTTATATTACTTGTATTAAAATTATAAATTTGTATTTTTATTATTAAAAGCATTCATATTCAAAATAGACTTACCTACCTATTCGGTTTTTGTCGTTTTTACAGATATAAACATAATAACAGTATTTACATAACGTTTTGAGTGTTTTTCAGAAATTGCGTAGGCCATAAAACCTTCGAACAAAAGCAACTGCGTCACTAACCGCGATTGCCACATTAGTCCAGTCATTATAGTAAGTTCACCTCGGAATTCGAGATACCCAAGTAAGTCTGTAAATACTTGTATATTGACACACTAAAAGTTGTCTCAAAACCTACATATGGTAGGGTGTAAGCAACTATTAAATTTCAAGGTCAAAGGTCAGAAAAATCGGTTTTTTGCGCTTTTTTTGGAAATATCTCATTTCCTATGGGTTTTTTGCTATTTGTATTTATTATCAATATTATAGAATACAAAATTCTCTACAAATTTTGTTTAAAAAAATTTTTTACACGGTGAACCGTTTTCGAGATAGAGGGCGGAGAGCGCGCGGTCACAGCATCACTTCAGGTCAACCGGTGCCTCCGGTCGAAAACGCGCCATATATAGTTGATGAACTATCGATAAATCAATGATTATAAATATTTGTCAATTTTTATTAACTATTATATTATATTATATTTTATAATTTTTTTCCTAACTTATCCACTTTTTATTCAGTATTAATTTATTTTACACCCTACCATATGTAGGTTTTGAGACAACTTTTAGGGAGTCAATATACAAGTATTTACAAACTTACAGCTGGGTATATCGAGTTCCGAGATTCTTACCTAATTTAAGCTTAAATGACTGGCCTAATAAAGTTGTCAGATCACCTACCGCTAAGCAAAGAATAACAAGCTGGTTGCCTAGCAACTGATTAATTGGAGGGAAAATATTGTTATTAGTTAAAGTGAAAAATATGAATTAATTTTGAGCTTATTATTCCAGTACCATCTACGTCATTTTATTTTATTAAAAGAATGTGAAAACGTTTCATATTCCCTTTAACTTTAAATAGCAGATGTGCAATTCGCGATAAAACATTCTGTCGAGAAAAAAGTGTCAATGACCTCATTGTTTATCACTTTCATCACATTCCTGGCTCGCCTCGTGCCTTGAATTATTGCTGGCCGCTATTTTTACTCTGTATTTTTTAACTAACATAAACTTATATTCTGATTGTAAGACCGTAGGACGAACAACAATTTGAACAAAATGTACGACGCTAGCTTAGCAAAGCTCTTCTTTTCTATATTTTATAATTACTTATTATTAAAATCTAATTAATGTTCCATCTCCGTTTTCCATGGCTTGATGATTCTGCTTAACATTATGCAGCAATCTTTGCCGGGCTCCATCTTAGAGCTTCCGCGGTACTTCTTGATTCAGGTAACACGACCAGCCTATTGCAGCCTCTTACCCTATACAATTTTCACGATATCAATGCGTGGTGGCTGCGTCTACCAAAAACTTGGTTCAAAAAAACTACCCATCTGATGCTGATGGTAAACAAAAATATTCCTGTGAGTAAAATATTTACTCTAATCGTTCTCTTGACGGGGACTCTGAAAGGCTTTAGTTTAGAAAACAAATCTATAGAAGGTGA